TTTTCATCGATATTTTCACTCTTACTTTTGTGCTCGTAGCTGCGTGTGGATTTTTGATAATGAAAAATAGTGACAAACACATTGATGTTAGTCGATTGTTTATTTATTACAATGGACGAGAGAAAGACGGAAATTGCTACGAAGATAACGGAACAACAATTGTGTCGGCCGTCGAAGCTCTAGAACAGCTTGGCTGCTGTGAGGAATCAACATGGCCTTATGATCCAACTATGGTCTCACAAAAGCTAACAGAACAAGCTTACAAAGAAGCTATGAGATATCGCGTTTCTGAGAAGATATCCGTCGATACTGAATTAAACGCCATGAAAGCGTGTCTCGCTCAGGGTTATCCATTTGTGTTTGGAATTCAGTTATTTGAATCATTTAGTCAAGCAGATAGCCCTGAAACGAAGGGAAAGGTTCCTCTACCCCAAGAAAACGAAAAGGATGGTTCGAATGATTATGGATGGCACGCAATGTTAGCAGTGGGATATAGTGATCGATCCAGATGTTTTATTGTCAGAAATTCGTATGGTGGCAAATGGGTCAGTATAAACTAACATGAGAGTAGTCGATCACAGTTCTAATTCGTTTTATTATGTCTATTATAGGGTGATAATGGCTACTGCTATATTCCATATGACTACATGAGCAATCCAAAACTTTGTTTGGACGCACATAGCCTTCGGGCCTTCAGCGACGACCGTGACAATTCTTGATTTTATATTCATATTGCTTGTTATAACATTTCTTTTGTGAGTTTGTGTGTGTTTGGCTTGAGTCATTCTAGGTCGCGGACCTTTAATGACTGTCGCTTTTCCTGGATAAAATAAATTAAACTAATAACTCTGTGAAGAATTGAATTAGCTGCTTATTGCACAATGTTTTACCCGGCTTTTTCTTCGCAAAAGGGTGAAATGTTTAATGCATAATGGGTATGTAGCAGCATGGGGAGAACTCGTATGATCGATGAAAACTCAAAAAGTTTATTACATCATGTTGTCGAAAAAAATGAGCAAAAGGATACGGATTTTTAGAAAGGAAAGTTAATATCAAATTCGTATATTATCTATTTTTTAAAACTTTTTCGATATCTAATAAAGCTTCTTCGTTTACACTGCTTATGGTTTTATGGCAAAAGGCAAAGGACGGGTCCGTACGAGCTAAAGAATCGGCTCACTTGTTTTTGTTCAAAGTGGTCCTGTGACTAGCAGAAAACCACGAACATTCGATTTTAGGTGCTTTTAGGCGTCTTCGAGCTCTCTGTGACACTTTTTCATGAAACACCATTCAATTTACGAAAGGCCCAAGCAAGAAAGTTTCGAACTTAGGACCTTTCGCAAATTGAATGGTGTTTCATGAAAACGTGTCACAGAGAGCCCGAAGACGCCTCATTTTGTTCAGAAATGTTTGCTCTATATATAACAAAGTTATTTCTTTATCTTTATGTATATTTCATCAGATTGGAAATTTTTTCAGTTGTACAATCTTTTTCCAAAGGACGGGGTGCAATAAGAACGAGGATCGGCCCCATTTCAGATCTTCTCGAAAGGTATCTAGAATGAAAGAGCATACAATTTTATGGGGTTCTATACCCTTGGTTCTCCTTCGGACCTCATATGTGTCAGAAAATCAATCAGCTTTCAACAATAGCTCCGCGAGCCCATTCCGAGGCGTTTTTCGTAATTTTCTCAGAACACAACAAGTTTGAAGGAAAGTCTTATATACCA